CGATATAGAATGGAAGGTTTATTTCTTTGTACAGAAACTCGAGCCAATAGTTATAAGGTTATAGAATTAAAAGAAGAAGTGATTGTTCAATATATATTTGATATGGATTCAAGAGGATTTCTATTAAAATTAAAGAATATGAAAGATATGGTGAATTATATTCTTGAATCGAGGAGTGCAAAATGTATTGGAAAGCTTTGGGCATATCGATTTGTAAAGTGTTGAATTGAATTAAAGATGTGTTTTAGTTGTATTTATGACTTTTAAAAGGCTCTCTATAAAGATTCTAAGTTTATTGAAAAGTGGTTTTGACTAATTTCGAATATACAAATGAAATATGGTATTCTTGATTGTGATTTTTATAATTTCGATGAAATAGGCTTTATAATGGGTATAATATGTCTCGGAATGGTGGTAACAAGTATTGAATGAAATAACAAAAGCAAGGCAATACAATCAAACAATAGGGAATGGGCTATAGCGATTATATATAATAATAGGAAGAATAAAACTATATCTTTATTTCTAGTAATTCAAGAATAAATTCATCTTTCCAATTAGTATACAGAAATCGATTTTTCTACAAATTGGGTTATTAAATCTATATCTAATAGATAGACAAACAATAAAATAGATTTAGAATGATTGAAATACTTTGATAAGTATATTAAGAATCGAAAAAAGGACAAATATCGAATATTAATATTAGATAAATATAAAAACTATAAATCAAGAGCTTTTCAAATATATTACAAAAAGAATAATATTAAATATATATGTTTACCACCATATTTAAGTTATTTAATTTAACCACTTGATATAAACTGTTTTAATAACCTGAAATGTTTATATAGTATTCAAATTAATAGATTTATTAAGACATATATCAATTATATTTTAAAAATTGAATTCTTTATAGCTTTTAAAACTATATATGAAAAATCAATTACTTTTCAGAATATAAAATCAGAATTTCAAGGAATAGATTTAATCCCATTTAATCCTGAAGCTGTACTCTCAAAATTAGATATTCGAATTCGTATACCTATTCTTTTCTTTTTCAACCTAAATCAATAAATCTCTCAAACCCCTCACAACCCAACTGAAACTCTTTTTCAATCAACATTAATTAAATCTCAAATAACTTATCATCAATCAAACTCTCCTACACCTATATTTGAAACTATATTAACTCTAACTAAAGATATAAAGAGATTAACTTATGAAAATATACTTTTAAATACAAAAATTCATATACTTCAAACAGCAAATAAGGCATTAAGCAAACATCGACACACAAAAAAAACCTAATTATATCAAGAAGGAATACTCACTAAACAAAAGGCTCTTAATATATTATCTCAATAAAAAATTAATATTCAGATTCAACATGATGAGCATCAAAAAGAGGGAAATTCTAATAGGAAAACATCTTCTAATCGATATTATAGTAAATACGGAAAGATAGGATATAATATAAGAATCTGTCAAAATAATATAATAAATCCTAGATTATTAGATTCTTAATAGTTTCAATCAATTGATTCAATTGTTATTGAATAATATGAGTTTGAAAGTATAAATTGAGGTGAAAGTGGGCCACTTGGTGATATGGGCCACTCGGTGTTAAACTACGTTATCTGATTTATTTAATAGTAATCTCGCTATAATACTAATATCTTGAATTTTCTTTTCAGTTATTCTATTTATAAAATACTTTTTAGGGGGTAAGGGTTTGAATATTAATCCTCTCTTTCCAATCTTTATTTAAAAGGATATTCTAAATTCATCTTTCCCATTATTTGCTTTAATAATAGCAACCTTGTAATTGAACTCTTTTTCAATTTGATTAATAAGATCCATTAATATGAGTATAACAATCTCTACAGATTTATCTTTTGTAAATCTAAGCCAAATTTCTTTTATTGTATTATTAATAATTATAATAAAATATCTATTTCCATTTTCAGAAGATTCTTGAGTTCCTGATAGATTTATATATAAGCATTGTAGTTTTGTAGATCTACGAATAACTATATATTTATTGAAATACTTATTCATTTTTTCTATAAAACAAGTCTTACAAGCTTTTCGATTAGCACTTTTCTTTTTTTTAATATAATACAATCCATTTAAAGCTTTCTTTAGCTTATTTATCTGATTATAATTGAAATGATTTAAGCATTAATATATAATCTCAGCTTTATTGTTATTTATATCAATCTCTTTTGTTTCTAAATTTATATCCGCTATATATGCTTGTTGAATAAATAGTTATTGAATAATGTAATTGTTATTGATATGTCTTACAGTTATCTCTAACTAACCATTTTTCCAGTATAATACTGAATCCCCTTTGAAGATAACTTTTCGATCTGTTTCAGCAAGTATCCCAATTGAGATAAATTGATTATTCTGAAAATTCTTGATATATTAGATATCTCTTAATATAGAGTTTCTAATAATGGCTGTTCTGTATATAATACTTATAGAATATATATTATTTACAGTTTTAACTCTTTATAAAATATTCTATTATATAATATTAAAGAGATTTTCAATAAAACCAGTAAAGTAATAAGAAACTCCTGAATCAAGAATCTATATATCATTTTAGACTTTGATATACATTACAATATTAGAATATAAAGAACCAGTATATTTGTCTGCTATAACTATTTATACAAAACTATTATTCTCAATATTCTTATTTGAATACTAAACTTCTCTGATTTTATTATACTTCCAATAAGTATTTTACCAATATCCTTTCTTCTTATAGAATTTGTAAGTATAAGATTTAGTCTTAATAGTTTTATTAGAATTTAATAAAGTATTATTGTTTTTCTCAGATATATATTTCTTTTATTCCTATAATATTCTTTATATTCTCTTTTGCCTCTTTTTTAAGCTTTTTTATTATCTTTTCCTCTTATATTCTTTATATAGTATTAGTTATTACTGAATGACTTGTTATATCTCAAGGAATTCTCTTAACTTATTATAGAATATATATATATTTCATACATTCATATTTAATGATATAATGAAGTTTCGCTATATTTGTTAGATTTCTATATCTGATAGTGTATTTAAAAGATAAGAGTAGATCTCTATTTTGAATAGAGGTTATATTATTGTAGACAATTTGTACTAATAGTTGAGGAGTCGATCGAAGAAGACTTGAATCGTTTTTGTTTTAGGGTCGAATTGCTTGCGGGCGAATTGTTGATAGAGATTCTGAGTATATTGAGAATTCGTATTATTATTGAACATTAAGAGTTTCGCTCAGATTCCTGTAATATCTTCTGTATCGATTATAGGTATAAGTTAAGAGCAATACATAGAAATTATACAGGAATTAATAATTAAGAATGCAATTCCCACTTTTCTATTTTATTCAAAGATATCAGCTCGACCGCTCACTGGTTTTACACTTCTCCCCATATATAGAGACAGCACAGATACTGCTATCATAACAATTCGAATAGCTTTATAAAAATCTATCCAATTATATTCATTAAAGATAACAAATGTTCCCCATTTTGTTTGGATTATATCAATAGTGATCTTGCTTATTATAATATCAAGAGTAAAAATAGCTATAAAGAAATGAGAACTCAAGACTTAAGGAATATAGAGATATAAAATAAAGCTTATAATAATACAGCACTCATAATCTATCAGAAATAGACAGTAAGTTATATATAAGAAATGATATATTGAAATATATATATTAGATCTATATATCCGGAAAGTCCGAAAAAGGAGTTTTATAGTGGTGTGCATGTGCCACATACGTGCTACACATGTGATTTCCAACAATATTATCCATTTTGATATCTATATAAAGAATTTACAGAGTTTTTCCTTTTTCTCTTCTTTTTCTGTATAAACAATACTATATAGATTTGTGATTGTAAATATATAAATATAGATAGTATTATATACTCTTCAACTTCATGAGTTAATAATAATGATTGATCATAATACTGCATACTGATTGTAAAGTAGTGCCACGCACTCTTTAATTCTGTAAGCTGAATATAAGGTAATGCTGTATACTCTTCAGCTCTGCGAACTGGATATAATATTGATCATATCAATTCTATCCAAAGGCCATACTAACCGGGTCTCATAACCTATTAGAAGATTAAGTGGAAGAGGCCTCTATATTGACTATATTACAGTATGTATTGACCTTGATCCCCACATTATAGAGGATCAATATGCCTGCCTTGCCTGATCTAATCTAGTAGACTTAAGTAACCATATTACTAATCTCGTCATGTGCTTAGCGCTGGTAACTTCTATCTCTTTTAACAAAAAAACATATAATTTTATATAGATATCATACTATGATAATAATAACAATTAGTAACTTTTAATCATATGAGATATCTTGGTAAAATTCTTGTTTAATTCCTTTAACAAATTCTTAATACTAATACTAATACTAAAAATAATATTATATTTTTTTTTGTAAAATCTATATAGATAAGATATAAAAAACAAGTAATACTCCTTCATTTTATTATTATAATAATAATCATTAATAAGCTTTAGTTTTATATCTAATATAATAATTATCATTTTAATTTAGTAAAATTCTAATACTAATACTTAAGAAAATATTAATATTATTTGTTTTCTTATATAATTTGTGTAAATACAATATGAAAAACAGATAATATTATTTATTTCTTTTTATATTATAATAATTATTAATAAGCTTTAATTTCATTCTTGATATATAAATCTTTTAATAAATTGATTTTTAATATAAATATTTGTATAATAATAATAAAAATTAATATTTTTAAGATTTAAAGCTAGTATAATAATCTCTTAATAATATAAATCAATATCTTATAGAAAAGAACTCATTAGTATAATATTCTATAATTAAAACTTATTCATATAACTTTTTGATAGAAAACCTTATAAAAAGAAAATTATAAAGAACTTATTCATGATAAGTTCTTCATTTAATATTCAACCTAATCAGTTACATCATTAATCCAAGGATCATCAGCTAATTGCCTAGCAGACCTCCTATCTTCCGGCCGCCATTGAAGCATACCACGCATCATATTCAAAAACATCTCCTGATTCCTACCCTGAAGACGTACTTCCATCTTCTTCAATTCCTTATCTTTCGCAACAGGCATTCCTGCTATCCATTTACCTATACAATCACAATTCAGCTTGGCTTTCACTACAATTCCATTCTGAGTTACACACCTTCTTGATCAAAGAACTCGGGAGGTCGCAAACCTCTTTCGAGAAAATCCATAGGGGGAGGTCCCAACATTCCAATAACCTCTGCTAAATGAGCACGAGTGGAATAGCCTTTTCCATCGCTATCTTCACCATAAAACATATGTTTTCCCTCAAAGAGATCCCAAATCATTGCTCCTACGTTCCATATATCGATCGGATAACTCCAAGGTGATTTGATCAAGACTTCCGGTGCCTATTGAAGAATCAGTATGGATTCCCGAATCTGGTTTTATACTGACTCGGTAGATTTGAGGCCCTGCACCATGATTCCTCTTCAAATCCCCCCGAACTGCAGAGCCAAAGTCGCTCAACACAGAATCACCAAAAACTCTTGGGACATCGAATCTTCGTGACGCATACACAGTCACACCATCAATTACCTTGCGAGGTGAAGGAGAATTCATCTCCGCTTCTGTGAAGGCGTCGAGAATGGATTCGTCCTCAATTTCAGATAGGATATTATCCGCCTTAATGTCTATAACATATGATTAATACTTTCCAAAAGCCCCTAGAGGAAAAGAGAGAATAAATCTTCCATACCCGTATGAACAAGCTGACATTCTCTATGCAAATAATCCAAAGCCAAAAACAACTGTTTCAATGCACCCTTTAATATCTTCTCCGTAAAACAATGGTTCGGAAGACGATATTTAAGTTCTCTAAAGCTTTCCCACATCGGTTTCTGCACAAGACAAGTATGATCACCGCCTATACGGGGTATTGTAAATATCTCAAGGGCTGTCCTAATATGTGGAAACCCGGGATGGGAATTGTTGCCTTTCCTTAGACGTTTATAAATCTCGGATTCTTCCTTTGGATCTCCGTCACGAGTGTAGATTTTAAGGGAAACGTGTTCATGAGCTCTAAGTCGTTAGTATATGGATATACATGTCATATGAAAACACACTGTAAATTGCGCGCCAACCAGACAGTAGACGTCATGCCATATCCAAGCTTTCCGACGACTTGGTATTTAGACATAAATACATCTCCAATGTTTACAGGACAATATAGCCCCCTTTTGAATCCCTCAAGTTGTTCCTCGTCAAGTGGTTGAGCATCGCTGGTCAATTCATACCCCGTCGTGGGGAACCGCAATGGCGCGGATGGCGATCTTCTCGTCGCTGCTCTTGCCCATTTTAAGATCGATGCCATTTCTGTGTATGCACGTTCTCATTTTACGATAAAAGATGGAAGGTTTAATAATTCTTTAAAAGTATTAATTGTAATGCGGAACGCGATAATAATAGGAATGTAAGTGCAGGTTCTATTGACCAATAACCCCCGCAAATTCACTCCTGAGCCCCACCCAGCAGATATTTGCGTAGAAGCTGTCCTGTACAGCAGTTTCGATAACAAGAAAGCAGAATTATTCCAGAGTTTAATTGCCCATTGGCTTTGTCAATTAGTGGACTTCTAGATTTTGATAATCTTATAATAAACTCAATTTACATCATCGTCTACGCAGCGATCTGATAAGCAGGACAAAGAGCAAATAATTGGTCTCTCGGCAAGGGAATCTTAATATTCTACAATACAAATAGCTGTGTGAAGTTGCAAGTGATTCAGAGGCAATGAATCTTACTGAACAAGTCTTCATCACTCAGGCGCTCTCATCAATCTCGTTACCCCTTTAGTTCCGTTGCTCCTATCGCTTTCATTCAATGGTCCCACCATCTTCAATCTCTCCGTCAATTTCACCTCCACCTCCACCTCCATCGTCATCGAAATCATTCCTACTCAATAACTCTCCAGTCAGGATCCTACCCATATGTGGTATTCTCAAAAACTCTGCCTTTTCGTCTCAACGAAAATACTTTTTGTAGAAAATTAACCGGACTCTCCTCGAAAGGGCAAACCTCCTTCATAACGGGATCGAACGATGCACGATTTGATAAAGGAACAAAATTATCACAACCAATCTCGACGTCATTCTGAGGCGGATAATAACAGAGTCCGAGGAATTGGCAAAGACGAATGTATTCATCGTGGCTTCGGAGATATAGCTGTCCAGCAAAAAGGTTTAAAAGCATGATAATACGTGGATGAATTGATGGTAGCTTCGAACCTGTTGGAAGTTTGTGAACATCAAGGCTCTCGAATGACCTTGAAGAGAAGCTCAAGCGTGGCGAATAGATGCTCAAAATGACTTTCTTGTGTTGTTCTATGACAAAGCGTAACTCTTGAACTTCGAAAGGACTAAATATTACACAGAATGACAATCCATTCTTGCCCTCAGATGTAACGACCCAGTTGACAGGACGTAAAAATGTATCAATCTCGCCAAATTCGTGCATTTCTACAGTCTGCGCAAAGTCACGAGTGACCCAAAGATGCCTGGGCCACTTGGATATATCGAATAATCCTTTTGCTGATGTGTTCTTGAAAACATCAAAAGCAGGCAAAAATCCACTCGGAGCGCTGTGGACCATAACACCGGTCGTGGCCAGATTTCTGACATCGGCATGCAATTTATGTTCCAAAGCTGGTACACTTGGGGCATGCTCACGCTGTATCTCCAATTCTTTCTCTGGTTGCAATTCACGTTCTTGTTCTTCGTGTAAACTGGCACCTGCAAAAGAATTAAAACCAAATTGGGCACATTTCTTCCGAATAGCGATGAGTTCGGCAGAGTATTCCATGTCTGTGTTAGGAGCTGTGTCAGCCAGCCAACGCCCGTCAGCTTTTTCTTTGCCGAATCCGTATCTCTCTTCCAGGCTCTGTGCTTCGTCTTCTTGAATAGATGCAGGGACAATACCAGGATTTGCGCTTAGAGCCTCAAGTCGCTCATAATGACGCTTTCCTTGAATTGCCCAAGGCACAACAGACTTTCGAACTTGGTCTAATGTATTTCTTATACACCACAAAAGAACATGCTTGACTTCGATTTGGTCAGACTGGGTCATGTTCGTGGAGTGTATTATTTTTCGTTGAATATCTTTCGGCGCACAAAATAATACTGACTGGCCCTTTCCCAGTTTTCTCATACGCTTACATGCTGTCATATAGGTGTTAGTTATAATTTTGTCTATATAATCAGATACTTCTTTACCTTGTGCGAGACGATCTTTGTTCAGATCTGGTCCAAGTGTAACAATAGCACGATAGCTGACTGGAAGTTTCAAGTCTGTTCCACGTGTGTGAGATTCATCGAGATAAATCACACATCGGTCCATCTGCTTAGCAAATGGCGAGATAGTGAGGGGTTCGGTCACCCCATCACGGTTCAAAACGCAAAGCTCATCTGAAGAATCAAAGAATACCGCCGCGTGTACCTCAGTAACTGGAAGTTTTGCTAACCATCTACTAGCAACCTCTTCATTTTTTAGCTCCAAAACCTGTGCCCCAACATCAAGAATTACCCTTATTGTAGGTTTCGACGTTACGGCAAGGTTTAGGAGGATTTCGGCATTGAAATCTTCACTCTTGACCGTGGAATCAAATTTGTTTTCAGACTGCAATAAGCATGCGAGCACTTCTGCATTTGTTGAAAGTTGTTCTTCTAGATCTCGTTGCTGTATTGAGAGCGGGAGGATATACTTGCTGTCGTTTGTTCCGCTGAAGCCAGTGAGCGGGTGGTTTTTGATCCGAGCAATATCCCAACCCGATGAAGAAAGTTTCTTGGGAAATTCCTTCATCTCCTTTGGGAAAACGAGGTGATTTAGATAGAAATCTATCATTTCTTTGGAACGCCTTAAATGTGCGTATACATTTTCGGACCATTGATGTAGGTTATCAAGATTGACGCCACTTAATTGCTTGAATTCAGTCTCAATATTGGAGCAATCTCTGGTCCACTTCTCGTATTCTCCTTGACTGTTGTCCGATCTCAAAAGCTCTCGAAAACACCGTATTGCTTGGCTTTCGGATAGCCCTTCGTAATAGTAGGAAAGGCAAGTCAATAAAATAGTCATTTCTGGATGGCTAAACTCTGCTGCGGCTGCAGGCACATCTTTCCCATGGTATGGGACCGCTAGTGATGATCGTTTCAAATCCAAACCGAAATCAACCCGAAACCTCTTATTTGAAAAAACAAAATGTAGAACTCCGTGTGCAAAGAGACCTCGAAGGAGTAGAAGGCCCATTTTCGTGGAGTCAGCATCGAATATCGAATGCTGAATTATTTCTTCATCTATCTTGGAATCTGTGATAAATCGGTATAAGAGGTCTCGATTACTCTTGGTAAATTGGAAGAATGATAATCCAGGGAGTCCTTCATCGCAGATAGATTGTACCACCCTTTTAAGAAGTAAATCACCGAGTTCGGGCTGTAGGATCCGAAATCTCGCAAATTTACCACTAATATCCGGCAAATTCTCTATTTCGAAATCATCTTTGTATTTTCGATCAAGTTTCTTGATACAAGAAGTCAATATCGACAATATTCTTTGAATTAGCACCCAACGGTTAGGAGCAAACTCGATAGGCATTTGTCTGCCAAGGGTATAAATCAATTCAAATCGCACACTCAATATCTCGTCACTCTCATCTAGGATATCCCGGCAATTCTTTAGTAGCCATGCTTGGGTGTCATTGATTACCTTACCAACAACCTTTGCATCTTGATCCCCAGAAAGTACCATCTCAAGACCCATTAACTCAAAAGACAGCAAATGCTCTGGCTGTACTAGAAGTACGCCACCGGAAGCCATGCAAGTCTTGTAAATTTTTCGGAGCTGCTTTGCCCCTTCAGCACTCATTTGTAGCGCACGTGAGATTGGTACAAAAATATACGGCGATTGATCATATTACCAAGCTTTCTGACTAACAATTCTCTCATCTGTCTAGACAGCGCTCTGAGTACTACGACGCGACATAACTTTGTCTTGTCTGCCAGAGCCGATGCCACAAGTGGAACAATGACTGATGATTTTCCAAGCCCCATGTTCAATTGCATGACAGAGTTCGCTCCTGATGATGGGTCGATCATTTCACTACTGATGTCAGCCTGATCTTTGCGAATCAGAATTCCGTTCTCCAATTCAAGTAGTAGCCAGTCCGGATGCAACAATGGGTCCCACCCTTGATGTCCCGGATTTGAAAGTTCCATGAGAAGCTCTGCTTTATTGCTACAACAAGCCACCAGACGCTTCAAACGTTGCAAGGTAGTTACAGCCAGGCCAAAATGTACAATTGCCTGCTTCCACTTTTGCGAGAGCTTTATAGGATGCGAAGTTGCAATAAGAGCAAGAATTGTGGTTCTAGAAAGGCGCGGAAGCATCGTCGTGTTCTCTGTAGCTCCGAATACGCTTATGGAACTTAACAAATGCTTTTTAATTCTGAGGTACATGCTGTCTACCAGTGCCTGACTTCTTTCCAAACAGTCTGAGAAGTCGTGAGCTGACACCGCGGGATTTAGTTTAAAACATGGTATCTCGTGCAAAGCATCCAGACTTTGTTGTAGGTGATGACTGTATTGATTCTCAAATGTTCCGGAAGTGTGTCGAGAAAGTTCCACCAAGAGCTCTGAGACTTTTATATGATTTTTATCATTGCCCAATGACTTGGATATCTTAACCAGAAGTGAATTGAACTGGAACAATTCATTTTCACTAATAAGAGTTGGAGGTTCATTTTGGAGAAGATTCCTGAGGGTAATATAAGCTAAGTTCGGATTATAATTACTGGTGGGTCTTGCATAATCTGACCATCGCTGAGTAATGGTGCAATCGATCGAGTTTGACTTCTTGAGCTCTGATTCCAAGCGCAAGACGTATTCCCTGAATTCGCTGTTTTTAAACCAAGACGAGAATTTTGCTTGGACTTTAACATTGGCAGTTTCTATGTCAATGTATGTTTGACAATGTTTATCCGTGGATGCAATAGGCTTGTCAGTTTTCCATTGCTTCAAAAGATGTTTCATGGCTGTTTCAACAGCACATTCATTTTGGTCAATATAAGTCTGCTGCCTTCGACTGTAAACCTCCCATTCAGTTTCGGCTTCTTTCTTGACAAGTTTGCTTGCAGGTGTGTTCTCATAGCCGTATTTCTGAGCGCTGATGAGAACTTTAAGTGAACTTCTATCAGGCTCGAACCCTTCGCACAGAGGGAAAAGCTGATATTGAGGAATTTTGATGCAATCAAAAATCGGCATTGTAGCAAATGCTAAAAATGTATGGACAAGCGAATGGTCGACGTTTTTCGAGAAGACCAACGTGGACAAGAAGATCATGATTTTATACTTATCTCGAGTTTCAATACTGGCTGATAGCTGCTGATAGATTGCACACCAAGTTTCAGACAAGAAAGACTCGGGTGTACCTAACCACTTTGAATCGTATCCAATGATATTTTCCGAGATTGCACCAGGTCCAATGATGGGACTTGACAAAGAATTCATGATTCCTAATAAACCCGTATAAACCTTCAAGTTCTGTGACCACGAATATACCAACGCTGCGGTTTGGTATATATCTGCACGTCGGCTTTCATCACAGTTTCCGTCCCGAGAGTCGTATACTTTATCTTTGATGGTAGTAAACTCCTCTGCCCCAAAGCCATCGACGCGATAAACGGCATTCCTAATGATAGCCGCAGAAACTAGGATAGGATTGCTGCGATTGTTTGATTCGGGAATCGAGTGCTTCTTATCGGATTCAATTCGAAATGGCACGAGTTTCCTAGCATGTGTGAAGATAAGATCGACTTGCTTGCAGAATCGTTCATGTTGAGATAATATTGGGAGATCTTTCCACAAAATCATCTGCATAGATTTTTCACGTGCTGGATAGTATGTAAATTGTGGAGATAAATCTCTCAACTTCAGTAGCAACCCTATCTCGCTAGAGGAAAGCGTGGAGAATGACCATACAGATGAGGAAGTTAACCCATTTAATGCTTCTTCCGTGCCAGTCTTGCCTGTAAGGGCATCTGGTATAACATCTGAGGTTACAGAATGAAGATATAATCTGAATAAACAAGTTTTCAGGCTTCCATTATCAATCAGACGGCCAAGTTGAGGATCGATTCGATAGTCATGATAACTACAGGAGCTCGTAAATGCTGTATCGATTTTCACTTGAACATGTTCATTTTCTCGCGTAAATACAATCTCGCCGTCTGGAACGACCACAACTCGCGTTGCGTTGTCGTTGCTACGCAACACAAGTTTGTTAAACAAGCCTGTGAATGTACCGATATCCTGATTTTTGTCCACGGACATCCCTCGAAATTGTTTAGAAAAAAGTGTCCAATCTCCTACGGTAACGGAAAAGTCAAGGTTGAAGCGGGGGAGGCGTAGCTCCAAGATTTTGTCTTGCTGATTCAGCGTCATGTTGATGTGGCTCAGAGTCTCTAAGTTTCCGAGAATTTTTGATATAGCGCAAGCTGTCGGGCTTCGGATATCAATGGCTGACATGGAGCCGTTGATTAAATGAAAGGTTTGGTTGGAAGAATGTGTGATTGTCCATTCACTGTTCGAGGAATTCCATGGCATATCTACTGGCCTCAGTTGTATGACACCAGTCTCATCATTTCGCATGAAAATATAATTTTCTGTGAACGAATGTTGGAAGTCGTCTATGAGAACGTGCTTGGGAATAACCTCAAAGCATTCATCCCCTTTACGGGTTCGAATCACTAATTCGTCGCCTAGCATTTTGAAATGAACCTAAAAAAGTCAGCATGTGTTTGAGATCAAATACCGAACTATTAATCTTACTTGTTGCCCACATACATCTTTCCTAGTCTCAAAAGCCATGCCGGGCATTGTTGATGGGACAACATCCAACATTTTCTGTATACATATAAAATTAGATTTAGGGGATCACACATTGAGATGTACACTGACCTGTCCGAAGATTCGTTGATATGTGGCATGAGACTCATAATCACGAGGTAGACGAGCAAGTGGAGATCCATTGATGAGCAATTCTCCGTCTAAAATGTTCAATTCAACAAATAGTGATTCTTGGCCATTAATTGTTGCAGTTTTCGTTCTTAGCCATCTTTCATTTGGCAGATCAAGTGCTTTCCAAGGGGTTCCAGGTTTATACCCAGACCAGAGAGTTTGAATGGTCATGTCAATACCGGCGGTTTCATTGATTATGATGCCACGCAGAATTGATTCGGCGGAATGATTCAATCTATCAAAGCGTCTCAAACCAAATTGGATCATACTACCAAGACCAGTAGTTAATGCAGGACGTCTATCGTGAACTGTGATCAGGCTCTCGATAAAAATAGTTTGAGTTTCGGTAGAGCTGAGCAAAATATTAAGATTATTGATTTCGACGTCGAATGAACCGTGACACGCCAATGCCAGTTCAAGGGCTCGAATTTTTAGTGATTCAAGCTCATCTTCCTCTTGGCAATCATGGAGTATGCGGACAACATCTCTAGTCCACGTAATTGTAATAACCTGAATACGTAAGAGTAGACGAATACAGCTCTCGTGCACTTTTTTCTTAGTTGAGACACTGAGCAACCGAGTGGTTAGTATAATAACCACGCGAACAGCTCTCACATTCTGCCAATTAGACTCTACACTTGAGACTATCGCGTTTAAAGCCTGTAAAAGATGTATCCCAAAGGCTTCGTCCTCGAGGTCTTGGTGCGAATCTCGGCATCCGAGCTTACAAGCTGCGGGGCCAACCTGCCATGCCGTCTGTGTCAGTATTTGGAAGACTTCATCAGAGTTCAAATCAAGTAATCGGGCTTCACTCTCTCGCAGAATATTAAGCCATTGAAGATAATTCCCACATCTAAGAGATGCAAATTGATAGAATTCGTGCAAAGTCAATGTGGCCGGGCATTCTGCTTGATTTGCAAGAGTATCGTTGGTGGTAGACTTTGTGTCTTCTAGAAAGGCTTCTAGCTTTGTGAAAGCTGGAGCGAATCTCATGGTGCATAACTTTCGGATACCCAAATTTTCGCAGAAATCACCCGTCACTGCTATTTGGTCGAATCCGTCATTATCTACAACCATATAGTTCAACCCGGTTGGTTTCAGGACGTTTTCAACTGTAGCCTGAGAAACAAACTTGTTCTTATAGTGAGAAATGATAAATGGCTTATTACGGGACCCCAAGCGAATTCTCCCCAAGGATTTCTGAGCATAACGCTCTAAAGCAGTGTTTCTGAAATTGTAATATTCGATGCCCTGAGAGACTCTTGGTTTTGATGATAATGTGTCAACTAGAAGGCTATACGTGCTGTCACGCCAAGCTGAAAAGACTCCAGGCACGTCAAGCTCAAATGTTATCGACTTTGCCTCTAAATCATTCTCCGGGAGAGGGCATTCAAAAACATTTATTGTGACTTGCTCGGCCGCATTTTTTGCAATGCATTTCGGACAATAACTCGCGTGAGCAGTGACTTCACGGCGTTTATGTCCTCGACCGCGAATAATTTTCTCATATCTGCATTTGGTCAATTGATCACTTTCTTTCCAGGAATTGTACTGTCGAATCTTTGCCTCTAGCTCGAGCAATTTTGCTTCGCGGTCAGAGCGAGCATCAGAGTCGATCCTCTCTAGTAACCTCTGGTGCTGGGACGATTGATCGAAGTAGCGAACAGGAAAGCTTCTTGCAGTGTTTGTTGTGGAGAAGATACATGGCATCTCGTCGGATGATGCAGCATTTCTATTAGTAATGTATTCTTCGATAGAAGCTAATCTTAGCATTTCTGGCTTGGTAGGTAACAATAGAGGAGCGAACAAGTCTGATGTCAATCCACATTTATAATCCTTTACAAGTGGCTCTTGTGAAGTTGTACATTTGTCTAATGCGACCCATAAATCGAGCAAAGTCAAGATTCTTACGGACTGATCTTCGGCAACCCCTTGATATACTTCATCAGAGACTTTCTGGTAGGTAGATAAGAGATCTGCCAGAGCGATACAAGATGGCTCATACATTTGATGTGTATTCAGCCAACTAGCCAGATGATCTCGAACCCACAGTTCGATGTCTGCCAACTCCAAGTGAACTAGATCGCTATTTTGGGAACCTAAAGACTGGGTGCTCATATGCGGGAGTTGTGTATTCAATTGAAAGTTTCGAAAGTGACAATAAGGTTCAGCAAGTGCGTGTTTTAGTTTTGATTGATTTCGTGTCGATAAACGGACAAGGTAAGGTCGGAGAAAGTTCATGGTAAGCGCTGTGTCTTCTATCAGGTTGAGTGCAGCGATATCAGGGTATATTGGGTGTGACAGCATTGGCACATTGTTTTTCAAGTAGGATGAGACTTTGGACAACACCTCCTGTATCTGCCGCTGTAGCTCACGGTCAATAAACTTTTCGAGTTTGACTAAGCGCCGTTGTACCTTCATCGACATAATGAACAATATTTCTCTGGACATGGGAGACTCTAGTGCGCGTTCTAGAATTTGAGACATGAAAAAGATCATAAACGATTTGTATTGGTAGTGTGATGGATCATTGCAATCTCTTTTCATGAGTCCAGTCTGAAGGCAGACTCGAAGAAGGAGCCAAAGGGGTGAACGACGCCAGGGGTGAAGACAATCTTTCCACTGGACGATATCACGGGTTCTCTTTTGAATGCGATGGATATCAATACGACGACCAACGGCATGCAGAGACTCCGCAAGCATGCTGGTTATGAGGGATGGGTCGACAGTGTCTCGAATCTCAATGTCAGATGCGTTTGCTTTACGAGTTTTCGCTTGGACAATATTTGGCGTCTCTCGCGAGAGCTCTTCAATGCACTGAGATAGAGCTTCCTGGAATGATTCTTCGTGAATCCGGTCCTGATGGATGGCTACTGCGGGACCTGGGAAATATCTTCGTAATCGTCCGACAGTCGCCATGTTATCTGTATTCCTTGGTGATAGCTCAAACATCTCGAATGAATACTCTGATGAGAGGCGTCGAATTATTATTCCTGCATTTTGTGCCTCGACGTGAAAAGCGTAAACATCTGTATATTTGGCAAGGTCAGTAAGAAAATTTAGGGGGGTTAAAGATCTGTACCTTCAATTTCCATTGTTTTTAAACCTTTGATAATGTTTGAAAATAGTGTGCCAGTAGCAGATGAATCAAGAACCATGCCCTCTATCATCCCGATCATCCTTTTGACTGGTTGTCTTTGATCACTTGGCAGGAAATCATGAAAGTTTTGAAGCTCCTGTTGACAAAGTTGCGTAAGTACAACATCATATTTCTCTCGCTCATCCTCCTTGTCCGGTAATTTCGGAGGAAGAAAAACATGATGAAAGATGTATTCCAGAGGTAAGTCAGAAATCATTGTGAGATCGCGTCCTTTTGGGATGATAGGTTGAGAAGCTAGCTATGAAATAAAGACCTGGGCGATGCGCTTTCGTATTGTATATTGCTTTGATCGCGAACGAGACAAACCTGCTGTCGTCAAGTTCTCAGAAGCAATGAGATTCTAGCCAACCCTTCAAAAAGCAGTTGCAAAGAGATAATTTTCCGTGTTCATGAATTCATAGGTTCCCTCAAAGGTCTCTGTCGATGTTCCCAGGTTGCGGTGCGTTTCTGATGTTGTCTTGCTGCGATCGAGAACTGTTTGGTGGTGAAGTATAGACTTGAGAATTATGAGCTTGATATTGAATGATAGTCAAGTAGCTCTCATGCAATCGCAATCATACTATGAGTAGCTCATGGAAGAGGAAGGTAAAAGCTTTTGGTGGCCAACGGAGCAATTGTTGGACATGCAAATACACAAAAATAAGTAATTCACAAAAGTGAAACCAAAGGAAATTCTCCTCGAATCACCTTTACTTTTTGCCGCTGGAAAAGCAAACAGACGAGTTATCTTTTCCTTCCCATTTCCTCATCCTCGTCTGTTCATATCCCACGGGTACGCATCTTCCCCATGATGGTCAATATCCATTGGACTTGGACGCCCGTGAAAAGTGATTTTTCAATGTAGGCACCCATTTCAAACTTCTTAGTCCGATTACTTGTCGAATCAAGTAGCGCGTCTTACCTCTTGATAAGAAAGCAAAAGGAAAATGATAGAAGGAAAACATTCTGATTTGTCCCAGTGCTGAGGCTGAGGTTACATCTCTTGTTACAAAAATGAGGCTTCACTTGGGTGAGCATCGGTGAAGTTACATTAGGTAGTGTGGGGTTCCAAGGTTGTGCGCTAATCCCACCAATCTCTCAGCAAGCACGACAAGCAGGGCCAAGCTCAAAATAATCTGCACGGACCAGGATCTTCTTCCATATCAAGGAAGCTAACCGATTTCCCTACTACGTGCACGTCCCTGCTATATGCACGATCTCGATCACCCTTTTTGAATAACTTTAAAAATTAATAACAATTCCAATTTATAAGATAAAGAGCTAGCAATTTAATTGATAAATGATAAGATACAATACTATCTAAAAACATAATAAAATCTTCAGATTTTGAATTTCGATGGAACTCGTAGTGCTCGCCCTCTACTAGATCGCAATATGACCTCCTCCTCCTTCCCCTTCGAATTATTAGCCTCTACAGCATCAGAAAGCTCTATAGTCTTTGTCGATGTTAGATCTATAGTAGAAGAAGCTTTGGGGAACTTTTTATCTCTTTTGATTGGAGATTTTGTTGATTTTAGAGTCTTTTTAACCTCCTCTTTCGCATCACGTGCAATCTGACGATCAACCTCCCTCTGCAATACCCTCTCTTTCGTCTCAATCTCCTTCCGTTCCTTCTCAGCTTTCTTTTCAGCTTTTATCTGAAGCTTAGCTTCCTTCTCTTGCTCCTCTTTAAGTGCTTTATCTTCTTGATACGCTCTAGCTTTAATAATAGCAGAAGGTGACCATAAAAACGCACCATTCCCCTCCTCTCCAATGAGATTTAAACGCTTTGAACGAGCTCTTTTCCTTTTTTCAAGCTTTAGAGCCTCTTCTAAACCTTTAGATCTATGCCCCTGTATAGAAGCTTCAGCTCCTAATGTAGTTGCAGCCTTAAAAAGCTTTAAAGTGATCTCATGGGTGGGAGCGCGACGAAATTCTAATTTCATTCTACGCATCGCTTTTGACGTATACGGTGTAGCAAGAGCATCCCTGCGAGTTTTAAATGATGTAGGTGGCGTAAGAGGAGCTTCCGGAGCAATACAGTCGATCGTAAGACTCCTATTCATAGGATATATGCCCGTTTTTTTCGAAGGATCGTAAGATATTATGCCTCGTACAAGTGAGCTCCCAAGCCTTTTTAAATATGCCCCAAAACATGCGCTTTGTCATACCAACAATCCCCCCGCTATTGTGCATCAAATCATTCAATAATGTACTGTAATTCGTCGAAAGGGCACCGAAGGTTCCAACGTCGAGAGGCTGTAGTCGATGTGTAGAATGAGGGGGGAGAATTAAGACAATAATCTTTAATTCATCGCATTTTGAAAGGAATTCCATATTGACATGACTAGAATGACCATCGACAATAAGTAGACGATATCTTCCACCTGCTTTTCGACGTGTAGCAGGGTCGAATACGTTTATAAGCCAATATAGGCCAAAAGCATTCGACGACCACCCATTGCTTGAGGCTCCAAAATAGGCTTTATCCTTCTCCCCTACATCCTGAACCCATGTATCTTGTAGATCCCCTGAGTCTCCTTTATAAATAAGAGCGGGAGGGAGAGCTGTCCCATCAGCGCATATAGCTGCCAATAGGGTGATAAACTCTCTTGATCCATCTTGCCTAGCTTTTGTCACTCTGCCTCTATTATAGGCGCTAGCACTCATTATCCTCTTCATAGTCCTCCCCATACCGATCATAAAGCCCTTCTCGTCCCAATTGTATATATCTCTCGGCCGTATATCGTATTTTATGGTCACTTTTATCAACTAAATTAAAAAAAGAGGGGCATTAGCAAGAGCGTTTTAGGTAATAAAGATCAACAACAATAGAAAATAGCTCAAACCAGATCATAAAAGTAATCAAATATAGCAACATTATCGGCTTTCACACGCAAATTATCAATGCAACGGAGATACCGACTTTTAAGACGTGTTGAATGCCTCTTGACAAAATTGCTAGTCCAGTTCTTTCCCACCTCTCTGCCTAGGATCTCTTCTGCAAGGTTTCTGACTATGCGGCTTGTAGGAGGGATAGATCTCTGTGTCAGCTTGTTGATTTGATCAACTAAAACCTCCTCCTGATCGCTAGAAAGCGCTTGTTTCGTATCGGAGAGGAACTGTTTTCTCGAGGTGGTTTTACCTCTATGCCGCCGGGAGAGCGTGGATCGATCAATTTTAAAGAAATTAGCTGTCTGGGTGTATTTAGGAGCTTGAACCCCTTTCAAATGATCTAATGCAAGCTCTATACGAGCCTCTAAAGGCATATCATCGATGTTTGAAGCCATAATGTTGATATTTTCAAAGTCGTGCACGTAGTAGGGACGTGCACATAGTGGGGAAATCGGTTACCTAGGTAAATTTATCTTGATAAGCAACCTGGAAATTTGACAAACAATATTCTCTTGAACTTGGAAATCTTGTAATTCTTTTGAATATCCGAATCCAACTTTGAAAACCAAACGGCCCTTTCAATGCTACATCGAGATCGGTCCAACCAATTCGATATGCATCCCGAAAAACGTGCAAACAACATGGTTAAGAAACACAAACGAACATGTCAACCTGTCAGCTCCAATCGGCCAGGAGTATCTTGAGAATCGTATCGATACCTTTTCTGCAAGCAGGATTCTACAGAAGTTTACACTGGGTCGTTGAATGACAAGTGGCTCCCATGGCAGAGGAGGCCGAGAGTGAAATATCAAATCCTAGTCATCACTAGTTGGAAGAAGCTGCAACAAATCATCCCTTTAACGTCCAGCCTCGAAGGGATGTCCAAAGCCAACCTTTGCTCGAAGGCTGAAACGTCATAATTGGTTGCAAGTGTTACATCGAAGGCACGGGAAGTGCACGCGAGAATGGCTCGGCTGGAATGTACTTTCTGGAGGTAACATTCCGTTAGCTTTGTGCGTAGCGGCAGAAAGATTCCTATTTCTTGTCGTATTAAAATATCATACAAGAAGATACCACTTGTTGAGAAGTCAAAGGCAAAACATTGTAGGTGCAGAAACACACAATAGCCCTTTGAAACTCAATGTGTGCTCCCATCATGGTTGAGTGCAAATTGCATCTGCTCAAGGATAAATGCATTCGTGGACGCGGTAGACGTCAAGTAACTTGGCAACGAGGTCTCATATTCTAAGCCTCTACATTCTTCACATCCGTTGATATGCATAACAAAATTTACAAGTATAAGTCATTTCCATACTCTCATTCCTTTCTGTTGTACACGCGTTGTTCCTCTCTCTTTCCCAAACTGACGGCATTATTTTCAATATGAGGACTGCAAGCTTGTTGGTCTTTCTGGCCTTTGCTAGAGGTATTTTGGGTGCTATCTGCACTCAAGATCAATGTGCTGATGCCATTACATCAATCGGTGAAATCAACGTTGGTCTCCAAAGTCGTTCATTAGATTGCGCCAAGTTCATAGCTACTACTGTCACTCCCAATGCTTCGTTCGTCAGTTCCAATTCCATTCATATTCTTCGCTAATTGATACAGAATTGCTTTGATAACTACGTCTGCTAATATGGAAGATTATCCCTATGTTCCTTCTCAAACAACAGCCGATCATGGTACAATTCCTACTTACGCATCATATTGTACCGACGCAGCTGCATATTCCTCCGCCTGTGATTGTGCGGGAGTTACAACTTCAGTAGTTGTCGCTCCAACTCCAACTACCTATCTCTACGATAAATTACCACTTTGCGCCAATCCAGCTACATGTGCACAAGGATATAGTAATGCTGCTTGTGGAGGTGGTGCTGGTATTTGTATTCCTGGTGGAGGGAATGATGATTCTGGTTTCTGTGTCGCTGCAGGAGTGAGTATAAGCTATTCAATACTTCTTTTGTTTTTGATACCTCCTTTTCTTTCCTGATCTCGATCTTGATTTTTGTCTTCCGTCTATGTATTCATTTTACTTCCCACTACCTCATCAATACCTCACATTCATGAATTTCCTTGGAATCTGTTCCAGATAAGCAATACTGATTCCCCTATCTTACAGACTTGCGGAATTGTCTGCGAAAACAATTCAGACTGTACAACTGGTATCTGTCTTAGGGATGTTTGTTGTGGTTCTACCTGTTATAATCCTTCGGTTCAATTTGTTACGACATACCCTCCTACTCCCAACAAGCTTGCCAAGAAAGACTTTAGAAATTTTAAGGATCTTTTCAACAAGTTCAATATGGCAAAATCGAAATTATTAGGCTCTTCGAAGAACAAAATCTTGGGTACTTATCTACCTGAAAACCCTCAGCCTACGAATTTCTTCAAAGGTGGATTTTGAGATGGCATTATTTAGATTGCTGATATATGGGAAGCTGGTCAGGTTGGAGGAAATGGGAGTTGGGTTATTACGGGATATGTATCTCTTTCTGCTGAAGTCATAGGGAGGATTTGGAAGTGTTTGATCTATTTCTTTGCGTTCAAGTATATGATATATATCAATGCGTCGTCGTTCTCTTCTTTTACCAGACCTTTTCTATCTAGATTACAACACAATCCAAATTGATATCTTTACACGAAAATCAAAATTTTCCAGCAGTCCCGACTCTATATTTTTCTCGAAACAATTAATATTGATACTGAAATAATATCATGACTCATCCAAATCTTGGAATCTTATGTATTATTGAGTAAGCTCGTGTGTGAGACGTATTTTCATAATGACGATTGCTGACAGAATTTAGTATCCGAAAAGTGTCCGAATTTGGGGGCGGAAATGCAGATATAAATATCACATTACCACACGTCAAAATCTTACATTCTATCCAAACTCCCCATCTAAATCATACCTCACATTCCTCAGTTCCATCCAACTCCAAAACACCTCATCATCCCCATTCCCCAAACCCCAATTTCTCTTTTCCCATTTCCTCAAATCCCCCCCCAAAAAATGACAACCTTCATCGGTTTCCTCTCCTCCCCCCTCTCCCCAACCATAAACCACACCGTCCCCTACATCCTCACAAACTGGACTCTCTCCTACCTTGTCCTCGCTTCTCGCCATTGGAAACAATACTACGGATTCGATCACAATGAATCTCCCCGCTACGATGTTCAAGAATATGGGGAGCGCATGGTGAAAGAGGGGAAATTGACCAAGAGACAGTTGGACAGGATTAAGAGGGTGCAGAGCGCGTCGAGTAATAGTATTGAACATTTTGCGTTCTTTTTGGGGTGTATTGTGAGTTTTTTTTTTTCTTTTCTAGACTTTTCTTTTAGTTCGGATGGGGGGGAAGGGGAGAGAGGAAGGAGGGGTATTGGATTACTAGGTAAGAATAGTAGATGTATAAAAACTAACACCCCCAGATCCTAGCACAACAAGCAGGACTCCCGATCCAAACAATCAATAAATTCGGACTATCCTACAATCTAGCGAGAATCGGATATGGATTCGCATATACGTTTATGGAAACGAGAAATACGAGTGTATTGAGGACGGCGTTTTGGTGGTGGGGAAACATTAGTTGTATTGGTATTTTGTTGAAGGCGGGGAGGGCGCTTAATGAGGGGGTTTGAGGGGGTGTGATGAGGGGGTGAGAGGATGGGGTAGTTGGGGAGGGGATTAGTTTCGTGGATGGGGTGTAATGGATATTCTAGGTGGGAGAAATGGGTTTGGAATGGAGTGGAATGGTGAATGGAAGATGGCTAGTGCTTGAGATACACCAGAGTCCTGTTTTTTTTTTCAGGAATAGTATTGAGGCAGAAACGCCGCTTGTTCAGTCAATGAGACTTATTGTTCAGGATCTATGTAGCATTATACTCAGTGGTACTTGCTACTTTCCTCTTTGATATGCTTGTGTCTATTTGTTCTTCTCGTCACAATACAAATGACTGCCGAACTTATCATTCAGAGAGACTCCACGTTTCCGCTCAATAAATCAAATACATATATAGAATTCCCGGGCGGCGCTGGCAGGAAAATCTTGTTCGCAAGGGCCCCTCTGAAGAGTCGGGGGAGTAAATGTGTAGAATTCTGAAGCGTATATGAGATATTTCAGCTTGTTGATACGAAGTATTTTACCAAGGATAAACAGAAAGGTGCTTTATAAGACATGTTTGTTGATGTTTCGCGCAGAAAGGAAGATGATACAGCAGTGGGTATGGGATACATCTCCAGTAGAAATTGCATACTTCAATTATTATGGTCAACGAGTGTTTGAAACCCTTCCTGCAACTTTTCAAAAGCAGAATCGGATACTATGTATTCCAAGTGAGCCGGGGTAATTTTCTGGGATGCTGCAAATCGCAGAGTCCACATCGAGGAACGAGTTGCGCGACATGCTTGCAGCCCGGGCTACTGCATAGCAAAAAGGTCGACTGTATTGCTTGAGTATGACTCTGGAATCTGAGAATAAGACTGACGACGGAATGGTGGGCCTTCGTACTGTCTTTTCACTGCTTTCTTACTTGGCTGCAGTTGTTCATCAAGGTCAGCAAGTGAAATGTCATCTCACCCATCACTGTCTTGTCCAGACGACACAAGCAGAGTGTGAGTGAGAGGCTCCGTTGACAGGAGTATTGAAGAGATTTCCGGTTTTCTAGCTGATATCAATCGGTATGGTCTGCTGATGAGTTGAGTTGAGCTATGTTTTAACTTTAGCATGGCTTGATCAAATCTAATGATATCAATCGAAGATGATCATCTTGACTTGCAAATCAATGTATTCTGAAACAGACTATTGTATCCAATTGATGAGGGCAAAAAGACAGGAGGTTTTGGAAGCTTGAATTTAGAGCAAAATTTGAGAAATAATACTGTATCTTGAGTACAATTCTTTCCCCAAAATACAGCTTTGGATTAGTGGGAGGAAGTGATTACACTAAACAGACAGAAAGCTTGTCAAACTACGAAAGAACCCGTTATTACCAGTGCAGTGAAAAATGCTTAAAAATAATTCCAAAGATTTGCACCTTATAGATTTAAAGAGAATTAACACATCATGCTGGTACGGGGTATACTAAAGCAAAGCACCTGCATCTCAATAGGTCTCTCAATGACCCTCGGCAGACGGCCAATCGCTCCAAGTTCAGATGCCATTATTTTGAATATACTCTGCTGCTTTTCCGCCGGGTTCAAACTGTGAGAGATGGCTTAAGCATTGAATATGCCAGTCTATATATCAACTCAAATATATCAGTAGTAAAGTGCGACGTAGTGAAGTGGAGTAGAGCGCTTCTGGTAACCAGAAAGTTGATTGAAAGAAAATAATGAATAAACACTTAATATCCATTGCTCATCTTATATACAAACAGCAATCTAGCAGTGGCAAAATACCACACACTAAGATTGGCTAGAGGTGAAGTACCTTCTAACAGCGCATGATGTTCAAGGTAACCTCCTAGCTAGAAAGATATAGCGCAAATTGGATTCCCTGCATGTTCAAATCTGCGACAACTTGGCTATATCCACATTCTTTATTGCCATGGTCTTCAGCAGAATCTTTAACACTCAATCCACTCTGACTTTGCTCATAAGATGAAGACTTCAACATTCTAGTACTCTAACGAAATCTTGTATCGGTGATGGTGGCTTACAGCTTTCATCTAACTTTAAGAGGCTAGCGTCCTTATTGAGCCACTGAGGTTAACCTTGGAAGAACCTCATCGTCCACGGGTCGCACTACGATGCAAATGCCTACCTAGTAATAAAAATGTGAAGCCATTTGTATAGATCAAACAGAGCCTGATGATTATTTGAAGGCAAAAATTGAATTATATTAACTGTCTTGCCTCGACATCTGATAAAGGAGACATTAGAATATTATGGTAAATATGTACAAACCACACAGGGGGGCTAATTATAATTCTACAGTGTTTTTCCGAAACATGCCTTCCTCAAACTATGCTTTCCAGTGCGAATATCTTCCGCCGGAATCAGATGAACCAATTCCATTGGCAGCCTTTTTGATCCAAGCTTCAACAACCTTGAAATATTCGTCATTGTTCTTCTCCAAGAATCCGAAATGAGCATTGCCATGAACACCGACATCAGCCATCTTGATCCAATCGGTCTTTACACCGACTTGATTGAGGTATTGAATGACACAATGTTCGTAAGTGATGTGAGGAGATGCTTCACCGGTGAATGCGACGTATGGTACCTTAGCTACATTAGGGAGGGTATGGATGGTGTAGTTTGCGGCGCTACTTTGTTGAATACAAGATCTGCTCTCTGGGGTATCCTCGCCAACCGTCTCGGTCTTGAGTTCGGTATAGTTGGAGATAGGAGGATCATAATTAAGATTGGAGACAGTCAAGCCAAATGGACGAGCAGCTGATCTTCCAACAGAAGATGTTGCGTTTCCGGTGTAGGATTCGAATGGAATGTTTCCAGGTTCGAGGTTGACATTTCCGAGCACGAGATCTGGACATTCGTCTGAAATTACAATTGGGTGGATTGCGCCAATAGAGTGAGAAATCAAAAATGATGGACCAATCAATTGAAGAAGTTCGCAACCAGCGGCACGCATCGAGATTTCTTGTCGAGTATTGTTAGTAGTCAATGGCATGAACGAACTTTCAAATGCATCAAAGATAGGATCTCCTCTAACTCCAGTACCGGGCCATTGGGTATGTTGTTGGCTTTGGGGATAAGCATTGGCAATTTCTGGAGCTGTGAATCCGACCTAAGGAAAATGGTAAGTCTCTGTCATTATAGCGTATGTGGAAGCTAAAACACACCTCACTAATGTTTGCAGTTGATCCAATTCTCAAAGGATATCCTACGAGATCCTCCTGGGTTCCGCGACCTACACTGGTTTGATCGACAACGTAAACTTGGTAACCCAAGTCCAAGAACATCGATGCAAAGCCTTTGCGATTATCAGGTGTGTTGAGCCATGTCTAATTTTGATCAGTCGATGATGGCTTTCAGAGGGATTGAACGCAACATACTGCACCAGAAATTCCTCCACCGTGAAATAAGACCACAGGATATGGTTTCTTGATACCCTTATGTGGAGTCAACTTTTCAACATACGCCTGATCGTAGGTCAACAGACCAATGGCTGCGTTCACGTAATGCCCTCCTACCCAAAAGACATCGCGTTTGTAAGATGTCTCTTGAGATTCACATTGTGGTCTGATACCATTGATTCCAGTACAATCCAGATCATCAGAAGATTTAGCTGAAGAGACCGTTGCAAGGCCGATAACGAGGGACCAGAGGAAAAACATCTCGTGAAAAGAACGAAAGTGGTAGGTGAGATGAAGATCAAGATCGAGTCTGAAGTCAGAAAGAAAAACAAACTTTCAAAAAGGGTTCATGCCACTACATGGTAAATTAAATGACAGCGGACTAGAAGTCTAAATCCGACTTGCCTTTGCTTGTACGCAATTTCACGAACTCCGCAGCATTATTATCGGATATTGTAGATCATATCCCATTTTGAATTACCCACGGATTACCCACCGATGAGATTTATGAGAGACGGAGAATTTGTCCCATCATAAAGTGCGATTGAAGGAAATTATGATATTGTATCCGATATCGTTTGTACAATAGTCCTCCAGGCTAAGTGCTAGAAGCATGTGCTAAAAGCATGTGCGTAAGGATTATTCTCTGGGCATCTGTCACTTTGACCGCTGTATGCTCAGGTTCATCTCTTATTGACATGGAAGAATTCTGGAATCTCAATCGAGACCGTTGAAATGTCAGAACCGAGTGATTCTCAAGGAACCCTTATATTAAGAGCAAGGTCTCGTTATATATATGTGATGTTTGTAGTTGAGACGAAACGCCTCGCATATATAATAAAGGCAAAACCCGTAAGTTTTGGAATTTGAGCAGAAGAAACGAAATTTGTATGAAGAAAACTTACTGAAGTACTAAAATTGCATTAAACTGGATGAAACTAGAAGAGAATTTTTAGCAATGGTTTAGCAATGGTTTAGTAGAGATTTTCCTGTGTCTTTGAACCGATTTTTGGCATCGTGCGTAAACTTGCGAGTCATGATCACGAGATATGCCACTTGCGGTCTTACCATTTTCTTGTTTGGGAGCACAACACTGGTAACCATGATCAAGTGGATTGGTTCAAATCGGACATTAAATTGTTCAGGTTTTCTTGAATAATTCACGCAATGAATACGAGGTCATGTTTTTATTGAATGCCGGGTCCGTGCGCAAAGCACTTTTTCACATCAAAACTCACCCATTTTAGAATTCAATATGAAATCAATTCATACTATTATATATTTCAAATTTTATAAAATATAAATTTTATTTAAAATTTAATAATATGGTTTTAGTTTTTTTATTAAAGCTTTCAATTAAGTCGAAAATTAATCATTAATTTTAATGTTTAAAATTTCTATGAGAAATAATGCTTATTTTAAGAATCAAATTTCTATATAGAATTTTATTATCAATTCAATTCAAAAATTAATAAATTTAATATCAAGATAATCATTAATTAGATCTCTTTATACATTATAAATTTCGAAGCTTTATAATGAATATTTGAATTATTATATATTTATAATATATAGAATAAAGTATAGTTCTGGTGAGGAAACTCGCTTAACTTTCAGCCCGGCATTTATCAAAAACATGCCCTCGTACGTATGTCAAATTTCATTTTATGAAAGAGATCGAGAGACTCGGAGAGAGCGTTCTTCAGCATGACAATGCATTCATTCATTGTTACATCGTTCCGGCACTTTCCCACGTGTCTTTTTTCTATGAATACCTACTCTATTCAATAGTCGTACTTCGTACAAGGTTATGAAGGTTATGTGTTAGCCGTGGATCATGGATCCTCTTATCCATTTTCAAGGAAATCTGTTCGAATTCTTACCTCGCTTCCCCATCAAAAGTTTGTTATATCACATCATCTTAATCAATCAATTTTTGCCATTAGTTTGTGGAAAGCCCGAAATTTCGCCTCGCGAGCATTTCTCAAAACCTTCCACCTATCATAACCATTAACAAATCGCCATTCCGCATCTGAATGATCTACATATAGGAATGAAGATTAGGAAATTCATCCGACAGTGAGGCCGGGGGCAAATGTGATAACCCACTGTTGCACAAGAATTACCCAAATTCTGGTAGACCGATTTTCAAGGTAGTTTTAGGTTTTCCCAGAAAACCTATGGTGGTATTTTGAGGGGTCGCTACCAAGTCCAGGCACCGTTTGAAAAGGCAAGATGAAGCTCATTTGATACACATTAGATATCGCTCGATACCGGTAATTCAGACCAGATAAAACGTTCCTCAGGTACCGAACGGCAACACCGTTTGCACAGTCGAGACGGTCTGTGTTTCTTTCCATATCGGCATGAAAACCTTAATCGTACGATTAGACCACCTCACTCTGGACGAAAAAACGGGCATATCAAAAAAACAGTATTATTTCCAAAATTATCTATTTAAATCAAAAATCGATATTTTGATTTTAAATTGGAATATATTATAATAAAGCTTATAAGTTATAATATATCTTCAGGTTATCTATTTTTTTTGTTATTTCAAATTATTATTAAATTTTGAATTAATAGTGTTTTGAAGAAAGTCTTGATTTTGGCGGGCTTGGTGTGCCCGTTTTTTCGTCCAGAGTGAGACCACTAATAGGTGCGCAAATAGCAACTGGCGTTCATAGGTAAATCGAATGAGGAAAGTCGCCGGAAAAATGTCTTGATAAGTGATGATGTGACCTGGGTGGATATAATTTACACAGGGCACAAGGAACATGTTACTGCGGTTTCCTTGTGATCGGAGTGAAGTTCAACATCTTCACCCTATTTCCTTCTAACAATCCAGAGAAAGGTGGACTTTTTTGTGCTCCTGAAAGCTTGATGGTAGAGGAATGCAGCAACGGGATAGTAGTAGGGATCGAGTGATTCGGCATTCGACAATTAGACTGATCTAAAACCCAACCGGTCTTGGAAAATTATCGTTACTAAAGGATATGTGCCTAAGATCTCCTCAATTCCATGGATGGACCTTCCAAGACTTCTAAGGGATGTCACGTAAGATCCTACATTCAACCATATCCTTTCCTTGCTACCTATATTTCTACCGTGTGCTCGTGTTAATATGCGATTCCACTGCGATGTTTTTGACGGGATATTCTCAAGGCTCGGATCATATATTATACTTTCTTGATCTGAACTAAACCAAAGAGTCTAAGTAAAGATTTTCGTTGTATTTCTATCTTCCCCAGGTCTTTTCCACTTTTCAGCAGTTCGTGATTGTTTCTTCGCCATAAAGTTTTGCATGTAAGAATTGGTGAATCATTCAATGCGATCCTCAAAGCCAGGCTTCCCCGCGATATTCCCCTCTTCTTTTCCAAGAGTCTCGAATTGAGGATCATTTACGTTGTCATTGGTGTTGGATTGTGCTGCGATCGACTGGAGAAAGTGAAGACGTCGATTTAAAGCTTCTATCTTCCACATCATGCCCTCCTCGATACTATCGTCTTCGTCATCGATTATCTCCTCCGCGACCAAAACCTACGCAACCACCATCCCCACAGGTACTATATCAGCTCTCATCGGTCAACCACCAAATACTACCAATGACTACTACATCGTCGCCTACCTCAATGGCGCCTTCGGCATTCACGGCAATCCTAATAAGGGAATTACCATTCCTCCTTTAGCACCACCAGGCTACGTTTACGAATCCCGCGCCACGTCAATTTTAATCGGAATGACCGTATCTATTTTCTTCATGTTCACATTTACGCTTGTTCGTCTTCTCATTCGTCTCCTAAATCGCGGTTTAAGACTCGGTCTGGACGACCTCTTCATTGTTCCCGGTGTCATCCTCGCAATTACGTGGCCAGTACTACAGATTTTAGCCGTCGTATATGGAGGCGCAGGAAAACACATCTGGGATGTAACGTATGAGGAATATGGATACTTCAAACGCTACACCAATTGGTCCAAGATATTTTTCTTCGTAGCAGTAGGAGTGGTGAAGGTTTCCATATGTCTTTTCAATCGCAGACTTACATCTATGACATCGAATAAGTGGCTCTTGTTCAACAACGTCTTTCTAGTTCTCCTGGCCATCTATATTCTAGTATCACTCTTCTGGAATATATTTCTGTGTAACCCTGTTTGGGGAGGTTGGGACGCAATTCGATTGGGGAGAGAAGGAGTTGTTGCGAAATGCTTCCCGGTGGGAAAAATGGGAACAATTATGAGTACGATTCACGTCGTTATGGATTTTGGTCTATTGGCTGTCCCGCTCATTGTACTGTGGAAAGTCAAGATGGGATGGAGGACTAGAGGGAGATTGTACATTGTTTTTTGCGGTGGGAGGTGTGAGTATGATTGGAAGTATTATGAGACAAATCGAGCAGACGAAGTTGAGCTCGGATGTATTATGTAAGTTCATTTTCTCAATTTTGAAATCTGGCCTTTTTATTTCATGGCCGGATTTTCAGAGTACAAACGATAGAAAACTAACACGTACTAGGGTCTTTCAAAGCTCTCGAGGATTGGACATTAGTCGATTTAACACTCGGTGTTATTGCCGCCTCTCTGCCCGTCCTCTCAGCCATCATCCCAGCCAAATGGAAAACAATCCACACCTCTTCGTCCTATAAAAATCCATCTCATCTCGGTTCTCATCCTCTCTCCAACGCCGGAAACTACATGCGCTCGAAATACTCCGGCAAAAATGGAAAAGACGTGAAGAATGGACGAAATCGAGGAACGAACGGCGGTACATTTGGAGAAAGTGAGGAGAACATTGTGAGAACAGACGTTATCGAGTTGAGTTTTCAAAGTAAAGGGGAAGTGGAAAGTAGAGAGGAAAGAAAGGAAGAAGGAAATGGAGAAGGAGGAAGTGGGAGAGTCATGAGAAGTTTCTCGAGGAATAGAAATCGCTGCGATTCGAATGAGAGAGCCGGTACGAATAAGCTGGATAAAGAGACGAGTGAATGGCACGGGGCCAAAGGCCAATATGGTCATAGAGTGGAAATTAGTAGGGACGAGTGACAATTAAAAGATTATGGGGGGTGGATGGGCTAGGACGATTTTACGTATTTTTACACCCTGTAATCCGGGGATAGTTAATGAGAAGCTTCAAAGACGGTTTTTATAGGGATTGGTGGCTTGTGGTTTGGAAATGGGATCATTTCATTGATTTTTGGCGTTTCACAGATGGCCGAGTCATACTAGATTGTGGACTCGTGGATATACCAAGCTTACCTGTACTCTGGGATTTGTACAGTGGGCAGGTGGGTGTTTGTAATTGGGGGGAAAATATTTATGTTATGATGCCAATGAATTGTAAATAGGAGGAGGGATATCTTTTTGAGTAGGAGAATGCTGCAATACAATCTCTGCAATGATATTTTGCTACTTTTATTCTATCCTAGTCACGAGAATGTCCGCGTCTATCTAATGGAAGTAGAAAAATGCTACGGGGATCCAGAATTATCATCTCTCAAAGTCAGTGTACAACAACTTTAATTCTCTATACCGGTAACCATTGGCAATAACCCCATCATTTATCTGCCACTTCATTCCGTTTTAAGCCTGACATTAGACGTGGATGTGCCCCCCTTAAAGCAAAACGAACGTAAGGAACCATAGACTCTGCATAACCGGACAAATCAATTTGAATTACCACACCAATTTTACTGTTTCTTATGTCAAACAATATTAAAAAAAAGATCTTCGCCACATAGTGATCAAATGGGTATATATATGAAGGAAGTTCCTTGAGTTATCGAATTTTTGATATCAAGTAGGGTGGTAAACCACATAGCTGCACAGTACAATAGTGAGTTATAAGAATTGAATTGTTCCTACAATCATAGGTAGGAATCATAAAAATGTGCATATCGTTTCCTAATTCATCAATATCCTATCTTATCGCGTTCCTTTCTTCTACCGCTCTCAGAAAGCATTCATCACTCCCCATACGCCCAGTAATCCCACAAAATTTAATCCATTAATTAACCCTCTCTTCGAACCATCAGCACCACCATTGAAGACAATATTGGTAATAGCAAATGTGTCCGCACTTTTAGTTGAAGTCGAGCTAGCACCTCCATTTCCAGTTTCAATGGCTAGAATATCGGGCTCGCTTGCAGGGCTTGTAGTACTACTGCCACTGATGGCTACATTTTTTGAACTTGAGTAGGTGCTATAGAATGTCGACACCGGCTTGCCCGAACTATATACTATTATTTCGCTAGTTCGAATTTCGGTGATGGAAGTAGTGTCAGTCAAAGTACTGTAATATGTTGATACAGGCTTTCCGGAACTGTAAATTACTATTTCGCTAGTTCGAATTTCCGTAACAGAGGCTTCTGATATTGCCAAATGATTTGGTAGAGACGTTGCGGCAGAAAGAGGAATGGTGGATACAATGCCTCCAGCATATTGCACGATTAAACCCGCAGCACCAAGGGTGGCGACAGCTGAATTGGAGAGTGTGATCGCTGGGCCATTGACAACGAGGGAGTGGGAACCGAGAATCACGTTTGATGCATCAGTCCCTACAGAAACAATCTCGCCTCCTGCAAGAATAGCAATCGCGCTCGATACAACTACAGGTACGGGCGCAGCAGTTGGGATACTGTAGGCTGATACTACTCCATTCGATTCTTGGACTACAAGACCTTGAGACCCAAGACTAACAATTGAACCGGAACCCGAGAGTGTTATTGCTGGAGCACCGGAAGTAATGGTTTGACCGGCCACGATTAAAGTCGATGCACCTGGAATTGCCGAGATAATTTCTCCACCAGCGAGAGTAGCGATGTTACTTGGCGATACCGCTGATGCGACGGCCGTAGTGGTTGGAATTGTGTAAACATTTGATTGGGATGGGTCTCCATTTTCATTTGCAATGACCAAGCCAGATGGCGTGAGTTGAACAATGGAAGAAGAAATGGTAATAGGAGCTCCACCTAAAGAGGCAGTCTGGTCTCCTACAACTACTGTCGAGTCACCAGGAATCACGGAGATGACTGAAGAAGCAATTGTTGCGATTGGAATTGGTGTGTTGGCTGGGATAACAGGTACTGACGATACAGGCTGTGGTGAATCAACGGTAGTAGTTGGGTCTTGTACAGCTAAAACAGAAGTTGAGAGTACATTAGATGACGATGCCTCTAAGGGTGGAACACTAGTATCTGAAGGTACTGAACTAGATTTTGGGACTTGAACATCAGAAGTGGATGTGCTAGAAGGAGAGTTGACAGTGGATGTTTTTGATGGTTGACTTGGTGATGGTGATTTAGCGGTACTCGCTGGAATTGAAGTTGAAGTTGCTGGAGTTGCTGATGTGACAGGAAGAAGTGCATTGACGGGAGGTACAGCTCCTGGTGGATCAAAAAGACCAAGTCGTGCATTATCTTGGCCACAGTGTCTAAAATATGGTCTGAATATATCAGCTCCTGTTTAGATACTTATATATTTCAATAACTTACAGTCCAAGTGATTCAATCTGGGGTGTAGGGATAGCCAGGGCAGGAAAACATCTATTATAGTCATTGTCCATAGCATGCATACTTTGGATAGCACCGTTAGTCGAAGATTCGGTTAATGTAATTGTTGAACATCCTGAAATGATATCGCTCAGAGTAAGCAGCGCAGCTGGCGTTGTATTGACTTGCTGATCAGACGCCGTGTAGCGGGCAATTGTAGAGACATCACTAGGATTCATTGAAATAATCACATTGCTCATTGTTGGACCAACTTGACCACAACTATTATATCCACTGATAGTATTTATGACCATGTACATTGATGGAGAAGTCCTAAACTCATTAGCATGAAACAGTATCTCTGGAATGATGTAAATACGCACATTGTAATCCCTATAGCTTCATTGTAATACGTGGAGGGGTAGGATGTATTTCCACTTGCTTGAGGAAAGTATGACAATTGGACTGTTCCAGCGAATCTATTTACCAATATTAGCTAAGGCAACGAGTAGCGAGAGCTGCTCATACATATGACATGGCGTCCAGATCAATTGGGGAGTGATTCCATTAAGATTCCATTCAGTGCAGGTGTTGATTGGAATGGATTGGTTTCCCCAGTATGGCCCAGGAGTAACAGGAAAAAACTGTGTCGTTGATTGAACATTTGCATATGAAAGAGTAGCGGAAGGTGTGATTGTAGAAGGGATAGATGCTGATACTGTAGATGCCGGGGTTGCGGAAGTGGTTGAATTTGGAAAAAGAACTATATACCAGGCATGAGTTCAATTCTCCCTTGATATCAAGAAACTAAATAATAGGGACATACCAGCAGCCTGACCAAAATTAAGAAACAGTGTAACCACCCATAGTGATGATACAAGTCGCAGAGACATTATGAAAAGATTTCAAATGATGATTAAAAGAATGTGGGTTGGAAAAAGAACGACGCAACAAGATTCAAAATAAACATCACCACGTCTGCCAAAGATATAACATTGCGCCCTCTCAACTTGATACTCGAGACGTTATCTGACATAGAGCTTAAATCTAATCTGGAAGCCAAAAATAATCTCCAAGATTCATCCGGGTCAGATGTGATGGAGAGCTGACTTCAACGAACAATCAATTATCTAGCTCACAATAAACGATTTGACCAATTGTTGAAAAGAAATAGATGTATTTGTGGGTACATTATCCTACTTTTGTAAACTTTACATGGACATGTCGAATCCTCGTGGTTGTTAGGGACTATATCCTTGGCATAGTGATCCTTCCACGGCAACGGTAACATTTTCAGGGGAGATACAACAGATGTGATAAAAAAACGGATCGTCTAAGGAGAAATCAGGTTCGATCAAGCTGTCTTCTGAATGATTTGATACAATGCTCATCCACACAAGTCAATCCCCTGTGTAGGTAGAGTATTTCAAGTCGTCGAGCTTGAAAATTAATCGCTTGTATGATGATCTGCTATACGTACAGCCGGAACCTTCGAATCATTTGGCGCTTATTGTAAGTGATAGAGTAAGGCACACGTGGGTCCTGATACCTGCAATGGTGATGATTGATATTGGTTCACTAGTTATGAACGCACTGTACGTTACTTTATCCGAGTTCTAACGAAAGGGTGTTCGTTGTTCTACAAGTGGCCATCCGAGTAAGTAATCCGGATATCCACAATCTATATGTCCTTGGTATGCCTCTTACACAGGAATAAGTTCGTCAGGATAGAGGGCGAAATGGTCGAAAGTAGAAGGAAATGCAGTTTTGCTTGTCTTTCCAAGAGTTGTTCCGTATTAGATGTATCTAGAATAGGAAACAAATTTCGGGGCAATTACAAAGGTAAATAGAGGTGGCAGTCAGCACATCTGATAAAGTGACAAAAATAACACGTGACCCTATGATAATTGGTTCGTTTTTGTCTAAGCTATATACGGTTAGTGACTTGTGACTTCCATCACTCGGTGCAACGTGGGGTTGCATTCTTTCAGGGGGTGGAGGTGGTGAGATCTCAAACTTCTTTTCCACCTCCGTACATCGTTTTTCTACCAAATCTATCTCCATACCTTGCTTTGTATTCAGCTGCTTTCATACGTTACCAAATGTATACACCGCAGTCACTAATACTGTTAACGTTCGTATTTTTTGTCATTTCATCTCGCGATGCTCGATTTGCCCCCCTCCCCACTCTCGATATACTATATTGGAAGATTATGGAGCTCGGCTCAAACACCCATTGACCCATTATGCGCTCAAAACCTCCATCACAATCATGTTTGGATGACTGCTCCAATCTATTTCTATCTAATCGCCGTACCTGTGATTCTTCATTCTTAAACGTTCATAATGTCTCTGATTTATGAAAATTTGACTGAGCCAGTGCCTAGAATGGACTTCTTTCGTAGGCAGTTTGATTCAACAAAGAAGAGGTAAGATCGAGACCCATGAGCTACGCCGTAGCCTTGCAGATATCTCCAAGATCCTCATTTGCAATCCTAGTTATCCCCCTGGATCTGGATAGCTTCTGCTTATGGATGCCAGGATAAGTTTCAACGA